TTCCTATTTTCCCATCGATCCTCGGCCGTTTTATCGCGCCGCCGTCGCCGCCGCGATAACGGAGCCCTCAATCCCCCCCCCCCCCACACCCCTCGCCGATAATTTTTCTCGAAACTTCTCCTTGCCTTTTCTCTTGTCTTTTTTTTTTATTTTCAGTAAAATATACATTTGTTCGTGTCAGTTATCGGGCGACGAATGGCCGGCAATCGGCGTACATCTTCCGGAACCGCTTTTTTTTGCCCGGGGAAAAAAGACGGGTATCGGCTCGAAGAGAAATGGGGTGGCTGAAAAGAGTATTGCTCCTCCGACGCGATAACTTCCGCACCCGCGGAGCCTTATTTATCAGCGGAGTGTGTTCAATCAAAATTGAAACGCCGGGGAGGCTTTTTTTATGCCCACTCGGAACGGGGGGAAAAATAACGGCGTTGTAATGGCCGGGAAAAAGGTATGGTAAATGGCCGAAAATACCCGTTGGAGATCTGCTCGCGTTCTACCTGCGCCATTGCTACGTCTATTCTTATTTCTACGTCGTTGTTCCTACGCCTATGTGCCACTAAGATGGATTAGTCGAGCCTCGCGGCTCGCGAGGCTCGAATAATCGTGTCTCCTATTCCCAAATTGTCCGTATCTGTTCAGAAGCCGAGGAACAATCCGAGAGAATTTACTGAAAAACTATGAAACTTGTAGAACTTATACAAAAGTGTCCCAAAAATGTCTTGGAAATGGGTGATTCCTCAGGTAATTTGAAGTAACTTTTTCCTTAGCGAAAATGTTCCACGAGGCTTCGTTTACGAGTTATCAACGAAAAACAGTGACCAATGAGGGATCGCGCACGGCTGACGTCCCGCCCTCGCGACTACTACCGCTGCGTCAGACGGCAAGCGCGACGCGGTATTGGCCGCGAGGGCGAAGCGCCGGCCGCGCTCGCTCTCCGATTGGTCAGTGTTTGTTCGTTAATAACTCGCGAACGAAGCCTCGGAGAACATTTTCGTAAAGGAGAAAGTTGCTTCAAATGATCTCAGGAATCAGCCCTTTCCGGGGCTGTTGATTATGTTAACATAATCATAGGACATCCTGTATAATATTAAGAATAATACTTGTTCCGTGTCGCTGAGATATTACAATATAATCGGCGTAATTTGTCGACGATCCGAGATCGAGCTCGATTGGAATGCCGCGCCGAATAGATTTTACGTAACTCTCCTCGATCGCGATAACGGATAAGTTTTTCAAATATTATTGCCCGGTCGCGGATTACCGTGGATTCGTAAAAACAGCGACGCGCGAATCCATAACCTGATAGAAGAAGACTTTTCGCCAAATCAATCAAACCAAATTAAATGTTATCGTTATCAACGGCGCGAGTTTCCGGCGTTATCGATCGCGAGAGCCGGAGCTCGTTCAAAGATCAACGTCGATCGACGACACGATACCTTTCCTGTTCGAGGGGGGGCTGCGGCGCCCTTCACCCCACCCAACGTTGTTTGCTCGGTTTCGTTTCCGCGATTACATTATTTTCGATCGTCGCGTGAACGCCGATCATAGATAAAACGCGACTCTCTTATCCTCGAAGCCACGGAAAAGCGATCCAGAACTCGGCCGGCCGGTGCCTGAATGATGGTTCTACGGCGAAGGTCGAAGCAACCTGTTCCACAGAGGGATTTTTCAATAAAACCAGAAGAAACACGTGAGGCCGACTCGCTCGCAAACCAGTTCCACCGTCGATTAACCGAATTCGTCTCGAATTCGTCTCGGTTAAATTGGCCCCCGGAGAAGCGCCGATTGTCCACGGGCCAAAAAAATCGAACTTAATCGAACGTAATCGATGTTCGACGAACCTGCGATGCTTCTTAACCAGTTTGTGTCTGACGAGTGTACAGTAATGTCCCTCTAATTGACCCTCGCTCAGATTGTGCAGAGAAATGAGCAATTTTGGAAGAGGAGACACGGTTATTCGAGCCTGGCGTCTCTCGCTTTTATGATCGTTGACGATCGTTCCCAAATTGTCCATTTTCGTTTCTAAACTGAGCGCCAATTAGGGAGAATTCGCCGCATCCCCTTTTCTCCGCATCGCTGTCCTAAAAACCTATCGAATATTTACTTGAATATTGGAATATTTATTATTACTATTTATTTGAATATTTATTTGAATATTGGAATATTGATTATTACTATTTATTTGAATATTTACTTGACTATTGGAATATTGATTATTACTATTTATATGAATATTTGAATTATCGAATATTTTTTCATCGATCAGGCAGTGATTAAAAATTATTCTCCATAATTGTTAACAAAAAAAAGAAAAAGAAAAACGTAACGAACCGCGACTATTGCGTAGACCGCGAGCAGCCTCGACGACGGACGCTCGAACTTTCGAGCAAAATAAAGTAGCTCCGTCGAGATTGCATAATTGCTCTTGAATAACTATCCGCGATAATGTCGTGTGTCAATGAGACGTCGACGGAAGAGAGAGAGAGAGAGAGAGAGAGAGAGAGAGACCTTGACCGTAAAATCGCCGACGGCGTCCGTCCCGGCGATCCCTGCGTTTGACACGGTAATACAGCCTCCCCCGCGGGGAGGGTGAGGGGGTGGAGGAGGAGTAGAATGAGGAAATGTTAAGCAGCTTGTCCCCGAATTAAAGAGCAGGTGAAAAAAAAGAAAAAAGAAAAAGGGAGCACAGGAAACCCGGACCGAAACTTGCAAATTATGGTTCGCCGGCGGGGGTGGAGCTTGTCCGGTCAAGGGGGCGAGGTCGAACAGACTGTAAATTCAGGTTCCCGAGTAGCCGGGGGCTACTTTGCGATGCAACGAGCAATGCATAATTTCGCTGATCGCCTACAAAGAACTGGCGACCCTTTGCTCGTAAACAAATTTCGGCGGGGAGAGCGCGATGCTGCGGGACAGATTCTCGGCACCGCGAAACTTTCCTAATTGAAACTTTATACAGTTCCCGGCGCGGCGTCGCGCTCGAAAAAAAAGAGGCTGAGGCAGGCCAGCCGAAAGGGTAGCGGTGCCGGAACTTTCGAAATGCTATTCAACGGTGAATCGCGCGGGGCCCGATGGAAATGTCGCCGCCGCGACGGCAACTCGGTCCGCCGGATCCGTCGAATCTTGATTTGTTTGTCGCCGACGCTGCTGGAAAAAGGAAAAAAATAAAAGAGAACATTTCGATTCCGAACGAAGCAATTTTTGCGTCAGCGGCGACGGATCGGGGCCCCTGCGCGAGCGCGCGGGGACTTACGCGCCCCTTCGAAAGTATTCGAACGCTTATGGGAAAATTTGTAAATATTTGGGAAATCGTTGTAATTTCTTCGATTCATTTCAAAGTTAATTGCGTTAAATTGTGACTTATATTAACTTATATTATTATATTAAAATGTTAAATTATATAATATAGTATAATATATAATAAATAATATAATATAATGTATTAAATAATAATTTCCTATCGGTTTCCCAAATTTACACATTTCTCCGTAAATATTCTAATATATATATATATATATATATATATTTACATTCTAACAAAAAATAACGTCAATTTTATAAAAGAAAATTAAATTTTCTTCTCGACAATATATACACCGCGTTTTGTAATTACTTTTTGGACTAATTTCGGCATCCATTTTATTATTTCGTTTTATATATAGTATAAAAAATATAATATATTAGTATAGTATAGTATAATAATATACAGTATATATTATATACTATTATATAATATAATAATATAATATAGTATATATAGTATAATATAGTATAATAAATTAGTATACTATAGTATAATATTTTACTCGGCATACGTTTTCAATTTCTCTTCCTCGAAATCGCCATCTTAAAAATTGTTTAGAAAATTTGCCAATAAATTCTACACAATTCTCAACAAATTCTACCCAAAACGATCCGCAGTCGAACGCATCGCACGACTCAAAGCCGCAACTCTTATTTCGTCCACGAATCGCGTTCGGTTTACAGAATTATTGTTGTTCGAGATGATGCGCGTAAACAGAATAATAATGTAACGATTTAATCCCTTATCTGTTTATTGTGCCACCGATGCGAGCTTATCGTATCCTTTGACAAGCTGGTCGCTGAAAGAAGCGAAAGCAACACGATGTTATACGTGTTATACAACCATTTGTTAACATTACGCGAGCAATATACGGTACAAATAAAAAAAGGAAAAGAAATTATATCGTCGTCTCTTCAATTCAATCTTATCGTGTCAAATATTAATTTGCCGATATTTAACGCTAAATCTGCCGAGCATTAAAAATGACCAACGCGCATTTACGTAGACTCAGCGCTATGTATTTTTATCATAACGTCTGCTCCGATTAAGAAATTTATATTATTTATTTATTCGATTCCAGCGAGAGTATTCCATAATTTCAACAATATTAAAACAGAAGATGTAACACCGACGACGCTGACCGTTGCGGTAGGTTTAACGTTCAAGAGGATTTTATCCCCACTATACAGGGTGTCCCAAAAATGTCTCGCAATCTAAAAGTGGCGGGTTCCTCCTTCTCCGAGGCACCGTTAACGAGTTATCAACGAAAAACAGTGACCAATGAGAGGCGAGCTCAGCTGGCGCAAGGCGGCCGAGCCAATGAGCGGAACCGGGCTTCGTACGCTGGTTGCCTGGACCGTCTCGCGTCAGCCGTACTCGATTCTTATTGGTCACTGTTTTTCGTTAATAACTCGTTAACGGTGCCTCGGAGAACATTTTTGTAAAGGAAGAAGTTGCTTCGAATGATCCGAGGAACCCGCCATTTCCGGATTGCGAGACATTTTTGGGACACTCTGTATCTATTCGTCCAGACAAACTATACAATAAAAATGCTACAATAATCTAACAAATGCTTATTCATAATCCAACATTCGTATATCCAAAGTAAGCTTAACAACATTCTAGAAGAAGTGATTTGGTTTGACACGATAGTAGCTCAAACATGCTAACTGTTCTACGTTTCATCGAAGAAACGGAAATGCAATTTGCTTCTATTATTGTGAAAGTTGTTTCGTGAAAATCGAGTTTTTTAATATGACAACCAGGTTTTAGGATTTTTAATAGTCAATGTGTCGATTTCGTCTGAACTGAAGCCCTTCACGAGCATCTCTTCGGGAGGACGTTGTTCGGAATATGGGAAAATCCATGACCGCCGAACTCCGCCTAGTTTTGGGGAACAAAAAGAATTCGTTATTTTAATTATTCTCCTCGGTAGGGACGCTTTAAAACAAGACGAAGGCTATACGTACAGGATGACCGAAAAATGTCTCGCAATCTAAAAGTGGCGGGTTCCTCGGGTCATTCGAAGCAACTTTTTCCTTTACAAAAATGTTCTCCGAGGCACCGTTAACGAGTTATTAACGAAAAACCGTGACCAATGAGAGGCGAGCTCAGCTGGCGCGAGACGACCGAGCCAATAAGCGGAACTGGGCTTCGTGCGCTGGTTGGCTGGACCGCCTCGCGTCAGCCGTACTCGATTCTTATTGGTCACTGTTTTCCGTTAATATCTCGTTAACGGTGCTTCGGAGAACAATTTTGTAAAGGAAGAAGTTGCTTCAAATGATCCGAGGAACCCGCCATTTCCGGATTGCGAGACATTTTTGGGACAACCTGTATAATTCAGGATCGAGTAGAATCTAAGCAAATTGTTGTCGGCTAGAAACTTTCCTCCGAAGATACCTTTCCTGGTCGTCGGCCGGTTCTCTTGAAAACAGAGACACACGGCTTTGGGAACGTTCGAGAAACAGACCGAACGATGTCGTCGACGGACGCGCACGCTGTTATCTCGTCTCACCACTGACGACACTTGATTACAAACAAGCCGCGAACCACGGACCCCTGGCGCGCAATAACAGCTTAATTGTGCAGTCGCCGGCGATGTTTGCGAAACGACAGTTTATTTCTATCAATCGAGCACTGTGTGCCGAAGTGGGAGGAAAAATCTGGCGTGAATTACGTTGTCGAACCGGACGGCCCGTCATCGCGGGCCGATGATAAATCGTCGACGCGTAAGGCAAACCGTGGCCGAGCGAAAGCTCGGTTCGTTATTTTGGATGATTAATGCGTGTCAATTCGATCGCCGCGACAACGAGAGAGCCCTTACAAGGCAACGTCCGCGTCCGGATTCCTTACCCTGTCCTCTCCTTTTCCGTGGGAACTCTGCGTCCCTTTGTGCGGCGAAGGTCGAAGACAAGATATCTACGATGATGTCAGCCTTCGAGAGCAACCGATTCGGCGAAGCGGCCACGTTCCTGCCCAATGAACCTTCCTATCTGTTCGAAACTATGTGTACGACGTCTCGATTTGTACGAATCTTTTTAATATCGGATCACGAGAATTTTCGAAAATTTTTGACTGGATCGATTGTACGAGATTTTCAAAAATTATAGTACCTCCGGCAAACGAAGGGTTCCTGAGGTCATTCGTAGCAACTTTTTCCTTTACAAAAATATTCTCCGAGACATCGTTCACGAGTTATTCGCGAAAAAACACTGACCAATGAGAGGCGCGAGCTCGACTGGTGCGCGCGGCGGCCAACTAGCGCACGGAGCCCAGTCGCGCTCATTGGCTCGGCCGCCTCGCGTCAGCCGAGCTCGCCTCTCATTGTTCGATGATTTTTCGTTGATAGCTCCTAAACGAAGCCGCGGATTGCATTTTCGCCGAGGAAGAAGTTGCCTCGAATGATCTCAGGAACGATTCCCCGGAAGCACCATAATTTTAGGACACCTTGTAGGCAGGTCACTCTGCGCACAATAAACAACGCAGCGCGCCGCGTTGCACGGCGAGCGGCCGAATCGAAGACACAAGATCTCACGTTCCCCTGAAATTACAGCGCAAAACGATTGGCGCCGCTTTTATTCAATTCACGCTGGACGGAACTCTTGACGGAGTGGTCGAGTTACCGTCCGATTGCAGTTACTACAAATTAATTGGCAGAAGTCGTTGCCCGGGAATGTCCGTTGTTCAATTGGCGGGAACATCCAAGATCGTGTTGCGTAACGGATAATTGAGACGTGTCCTTCTGGAGGGATCCACGCGTTACATTCTAAACGGGCGTTCTCGCTGCCGTCGCGATTCGCGATCGAAGTGTTTTCGTTTCTCGGCGGGCAACCGATTGCGTGGAGCCGCCAACACGGTCGCCAGGCCGCCGGCTGAACGTAAAATTCCTGCGCGCATACGCCGCTTCGTCTAATCGCGGTGCCCGATAATTATAATAAGCGCGACATTACGAAATTGTTGCGACCCCCTATCCGCTGGGGTTCTCCGGTTATCGTTGACCTCCAATAAATTATCGCCGGGAAAATGCTTAGGCAAACGCGTGTAAACATTGCGCTCGACGTCTGGCTGGCGAGATAAAAATCTGGATCTGTCGTCGTGCAAGGAAGGTTATGATGCGCGTTAGGTTACGATACGGTGTTGCATAGCCGCGAGGACCAGAAGAGCGAAATACATAAATCGCTTGATCGTTAGCTCGCGTGCACCGCGAGTGGCCGACACAAGTTATATTGCATGGACTGGCACCGACATAATCGCAGACACAAATACCACTTTCTTCGAACGTACGATGCAGTTTGATGGTCTAATTACGACCACTCGCTTCGCTCGCGCAAATCTGTTGCGTCAATTTATTCCGACTGTAGCTGGAAAGTGCGTTGGAACGGCAGAAATATGCATCTAACGAACAAGCAGCAATTTTTATTTGCCGATTTTTATTTGGGAAGTACGATTATGGACAATCGCGGGGAACAATTTGGCAATTTGTTGGACGGAAGAGAAGTCTTGCGTGTCGTATGGCACTTGCTTTGTTTTCGCTACTTCTTTTATGGGCATTAGCTTGTGCATCGTAGAGAAAAATGTGGTAATTAGTCAATGTTTATAGTTATGTTAATATATATATTGTAACTTTCAAGTAAAAGTTCTAATCGAATTTTTGTAATTTTCTTCGTCACGAGCAACAGTTCCTAATTTTTAGGAACTTTAGAAACTTCGAAACGCATATGTGTAACGACTGCGATTAGTCGAAATAATTTTTCGGAATATTAATTACTGTTTCAAAAGTTTTTCTGTACCTCGAGTTCCGTTAGCTATTTTTATTCGAACATTGGATCGTGAAACGGACGAGAGAGTACTGGAAGTACTGGAAAACGAGTTTTGTTTCTTCTTGTAAAACTGAATTGCATCGAATGATTTTTAAGTTAATTGTAAGAATTAAATAAGTATTAATATAATTAAGTATTATTATTAATATATTTAATTAAATTATTTAATTAATAAATAATAAATTATTAAATATATTATAAATATAAATAATAAATTATTATTATTAATATATAATTAAGTAAGTATTTTTCTTTTCCTGTCTTATTCTTGTTTTACCATTAAACGTAATCAAATATGTTATTATACCATTGGATGATGCTCGATGATGAAATGAATCGGATGCAACTTATTTCCAATTGACATCGTTGCATCATATCTCTTTCGGAGTAATCGTTCAACAATTAGGGCCTTAATTTGTCGTTTATTAATCAAAAATTGGTACTCCTCCGATCGGAGAGGCCT